TATACATATATATACATACATATAATTATATATATATATATATTTATATATATTAATGTATATATCTGCATATTTAGTCATTTCTCTGAAATCCACCTTTTTTTGCGTTCCGTACAACTTTTCTATGGTCAGCCAAACGGCATTCCCAAATGAAGATGAAAGGAGGAAAAGGAAAAAAGGGTAAAGTGCAGACAAAGGCTATGACGGAGATCAAGGCCAGGAAACTTAATAAAACGAGTGGTGATGGAGCGAATGCAAGAGCACCCGAGATGTTGATCGCCTTTAAAGCAAGCAATGCATCAGCAAGCAAGAAAGAAATGGTGTTGAATATTCTTGGCACATTGAAGAAGATTGTTGAGCTACAAACTTTGAGAGCGAGAGAGAGAGAACAATTCAAGATGCGAATGGACGCTTGCAGGTATACCTACATGTACACACTACCGAGTTCTATAGTGAGTTGTGTTCTATTGTATGTGGTGGAATGGTTGTTTTGACATTTGTCACATAAAGGGTATGATGCGATGAATCTGATAATATTGTACTGGGCTCCAGATGAAGATACAAGTGTGCATCTAGTAGTTGTACACCTCACGATGATCATTTCTTGTGCACGTTAACGTGCTTGGTGCGTGTTTTCATTACTGTATCTTAGATGTTGGTTTGTCTACTGCATGTACAATCATACATTCATTTGTACAGGTAAAGCGCACACTTCAAAATATTCTTTCTTTTCTGAACCTTCTCACGTCTCCCTTAGTCGGCTGTGCAGGTTTGTTCTCTGACAGGTCAGTTATGATTATCGGACAGAACTTTACCCAGCCCATCCGAGAATACACATATGCCTCATATTCATCGCAGAGGTGCGCTTGTAAACATCCACAAATATAGAGCTTTGGTGCCGCATTCGGGATGTGGGATACACGTTCGGGAATCTCGCACAGAACGATGCTGTCTGGAACGATCTCGTGAGCAATGCAAAAGGAACTGTGGATGCGCATGTACGGCATGCGCGCGTGTTAACAGAAGCTACCAGCCTATATTCGGTGTGTGTGGCTCATATTTATATCTCTGTGCGTTTATTCTAGATACGAATGAACACAATCGGTCAAGCATCGTGTGGTGCATATGTGAACACGAATCTCATTCGTGAGCGCAAGTGTGCATAACACATGAACTCATGTTTACCAGTTCTCGATGTCTTGTATTTACAAATAATACCAGTTTACAACATAAATGAATACTTATCAGCATATATACTGAAATCACATAACCACATTAATATACTTTTAACATTAGTGGCCACAGATACTTAGCTACGATATATGCAGACCCGGGCCATGCGATTCACTCATGCACTATATAAATGAAAGCTCATGTGGACGTATAAGCTTTCCCACTACACAGCGTTGAGAACAGATATGACATTTTGTATGTATCATCTGCACGCCACTGACTATAATTCCCGCTGTTACTCCGTGAAACCCTCATGATTATGGATCTATGCAAGGCTGATGTCTATTTGGGTTTCAGCTCATTTGTATCCCCGTATATTCTGGTCACGTGGCGGACACTACTGTACTGGCACTGTGTGTTTGTTGTTGATATAGCCATGCCTTGATGAGCCTGATGAGCACTCACTCGCTGGTTATTGTACAAGTGGAGACTGGTGGTTTCATCTGTGCTTGTTGGTCATCGGTGTGGACTCGTGCTCTATCCTCAGGTCACAGTTTGTCGGTCCAGTGCGATCTTGTTGCGATTTCTGTTGCGTTAGACGGTCTACTACACTGCACTAAGCCTTGTCCATATCTACCATCGCTGTTCTATAAATAGACTGTCCGGCAAGCTGATGGCGATGCCTCGGGCTGGGGCAGGCTTCAATTTCTGTTGCAACACAGTGCAAAGTACCTGCACAAAGGTCTCAATCCCAAACAGCATCCGTCTGTCAATGGATTTGTGACGGATGAGTGGCAGTATGACCTACTGGAACACGTCCGCATGCGGCACTCCGTTTTGGTTGTTGCCCCCACAACTGGTAAGGTATTCTAATGTGTTATATAGTAAACACATGTGTAGACGGTTCATGTACAGTCGTGTGAGGATTTCCGAGGTGGAAGGCCTTATTCAACTGCGTGCGTGTGCGTGGGTGGCACTTTATGTTTACGTAAATAAGTCAAATCACAGGGTTGTATGATATATGCAGCTGCCGTGAGCATGTTGGTATGTGTAGACTATTAGCAAAATAACTGCAATACCTCAAAGTTGCGCATATCACTACACGAGCGCACCACAACAGTTAGAAGCTGACTCGTCTACTCGTCCAAGATTATACAGTACACGCAAACACGCGCATACTGAAGAGTTACTATCTAACACAACTAAAGTGTGAATGCTCTAAACACCAACGGCCGATGTGCACAAAGAACACACAAACACTTATCTAAGCGGAACACGTCATTTATTCCCATGAACTTTACAGCCGGGAAGTCCTTCGTGGCCATGTATGCCATTCGGCAAGTGATTCTGGAGGATGAAAAACAGATTCAGAATGAGCGCATTGCCGAGGAGGCTCATCTGGCAGCAACAAAGGGGAAGGCGGGCGGCAGAAAAGGCAACAAGTACAAGCCTGAAGGCAACCTTGCGGTATGGTTGTGCACCCGCGTGTTAGTCTAAAAACTGATTGTAACAGTTACTATGGAGATATACAAATGACCTACTGTAGAGTATGCTATAAGGCTGAGCAACCTGTTGGAATCATCATTGAATATGAGCCAGCTGTGTTCCAGGAGGTCAGATAGTAACCAAGCTACCGCTCACCCGTATATGAAATCTTGTTACGAGACTCTCCTTGTATGTCAATACGCATGTGTCTGATCTAGCTTTGATACGCATCGTGGGAGGCATCGTTCTAATCTATGATCCCTTCAGAAATGTATGGTGGACAGGCTCATGGGTTTAATATGGTACCTCTATTTCCACAGTATGCAATTTAACAGTCCGCGTATCGCAGCTGTATATGCCACATACACGGTCGTCTCACAGTTATGCACCTCCGATTTGAACTTTTGAATTGAAGGCCAGCGGGCGATGTTCGTTGGTGTTGTGCGACACACACCCCAACACTTGAATGCCCATACGCGTGGACTATTTGCGTGGTGGTGCACATACACATAAGTGTGAGTTTACAATGAATTCCAATTGCATTCGATTAGCTGTATTCGCTATCAGATCTGTACCTCGGCCCCCAACATCCTCACAAAGCCTAGATTTTCTAGCCAGACACAAGCGTGCGGTGATGCGTTGTGGCTACGTATGCCACACTCGCGCTGTACAACCAGACCTCACGATCTGTACTGTTCATACGACGCCTTGTTCCATCAATAACACGAATAGATGTGTGTACCAACGCAGCATTTAGTTCTCACAAATCGTGGACGTCGAGTTAGACCCGAATCCATTGTCAAGGGCTGATATCTGTGTGTTCTACTCTTGCGCTGTACAACAGTCGCATGTTCACACTATATTCCCACGCCAACACAGTGGTAGGTATACCATATACGGCTTTACCTACACTGCATTCCTCTCCCGTCAACTGCAGGGCACTAAGGTGGATCTGAGTCTCTTGCCCAAAACAAACGTACGGTGTCGCGTAGTGTTTGTGTGTCCTACACTTGCACTGTGTAACCAGACCGCAGGTGAAGTGCGGCGGCAATTTCCATTGGTGCCGGTCGGGGTGTTCACGGCAAAGTTCCGGGAGAGCATTCACACCTGTGAAGTGCTGGTGTGTACGCCTCATATGTTGGAGATTCTGTACCAGGTGTGTATACGTGTATCAATTGAGAGCTTTGATGCTCATGGTAGCTTCTGGAAGGGTTGTTTAATTATCGGTGTATTTGTCCGTGTAGGTCGGTCGAACTCACGTCATACGCTGGAGATTCCTTCTCATATGCGTGCATGTCATGGGTAAGGATTTGGAGAGAGTTGCGCACCTCTCATCGATGCGCTCAAACCTCATCTGCCCCACACACACGGGACAGGCGTTCTCAAATGTTGATAAGTGCTATGAATACCTCCTCGCACGGTATATCAAGACCAGCCGTCGAACTACTTGGTATCCTTTGGATATTGATTTCGTTTTTCAACACCTTTTATTTGGTAAACACTGTCGACCTTCTCCGCGCTCCAGTCACCGGCCAGTCACATCTGGCGCACCCGTATACTGCGATGGGTCATCTGTGATGAGATCCACATGATGTCTTCCTTCGACGGCCCTCAGAGAACTCCTAGTGCAAAAAATTTGGGTTCGGCTGATGCTATCAGTGTCTCTGATGAATATTCGGCCGAGGTAAATCACTTGTATGCAGTATTTGCAGTCGTAAAGATATATATATATATATATATATATATATATATATATATATGTGTGTGTGTGTGTGTATATGTATATATATATATATATATGATCTAAGTATATACATGTACAAACACTTATGAATATTTGGCTGAGGTAAACCACTTGTAAACATATCGTAATATTTTATATATGGGCCATACTTGTTATGAGTGATTATGAGGATGGGTGAGTGATATACTATGGTTCTTATATGTAACTTTATGATATGTATATAGCTTGTAGTACTAGGGCATGTTCAACTCGCGTTCAGAGTACATGTACAAACACTGATGAATATTCTGCTGAGATAAAGCACGTGTGTGCATTAGTTAAAATCGTAAATATACCGACACGTATCTAAGTATATACATGTGCAAACACTGGGGAATGAATATGAATATACTTAGCACAGGTTCATGTAGAAGTACAAACATACATAAAACAAATTCCTGAATACGCTCAAGAGTACACATATGTCTTACGCGCTTGTTTTTTATCAATGTGGTTCGTTAAGTTGGAGTAAACAGTTGGTCGCGGTATATATTACACGACGCAAGTCTACATATGTGCAACAAAAAGCAGCACCTACATGCATATAGGGTATCCAGTCTACATATGTGCAACTACAAGCAACACTTACATGCATATTGTGTATCAAGTCCTGCATCATGAATCTGAATGCATCCGGCACGGACAGTGTCTGTGGTCCGTTTGAAAATGTGGGTGTTGTCATCCTATGCTTATATATATATATATATATGAATTTATAGTGCCCCTTTAGACAAGGCTTTAAGGATACCAACCCCCGGTCAAGCCCCTGTATCTTTTCATTTGTTCTTCGCATAACACGAGAACACCGTAGCACAATAACTAAAGCTCTGCACACAATCAACATACCAAACACGCAGGACGCTGGATCCACGATAGAAGCCTGTGATGAATCGAGCACAAGTACAGACGACGAGGAGACCGCAGATGAGGATGAAGACGAGACCAATCTTGATGGTAGCTTTTGAGGACATTGTATCAATGGAGTCGTGAACTGAATCACTTGCATACTAGTTTGCCTATATCAATATTTGCTACCCGTTGGATCAGTGGACAGTTTGCGTATTGTCTGGCCCGGAGTTTGACAATTTTGAAACCGTTATCTTGGCTCTCTATCTGTTTGGTTGCACTTTTGCATTCTTATTCACCTGTATGTAAAAACACTGTTGTTGGTTACCGTATTTCGCTTCCTTACGCTTCCTTATATTGACGAAGTTGAAATTCTAGGCTGATGCCAGCCACTAGTGAAAGTTTGACCTAAAGACCAATATATGCGGTGTGAAAGTTCGATGATATCGTTCTAAAGACCAATACATGCGGTGTGAAAGTTCGATGATATCGTTCTAAAGACCAATACATGCGGTGTGAAAGTTCGATGATATCGTTCTAAAGACCAATACATGCATTGTGAAAGCTCGATGATATCATTCTAAAGACCAATATATGCGGTGTGAAAGTTCGATGATATCGTTCTAAAGACCAATATATGCGGTGTGAAAGCTGGATGATATCGTTACAGCCAGTCTATAAGTTTGGCACTATTTTTGGCCACATATGGTCCCCTGCCATTAGCTTGCTGCCTAGCTTACCTCACATGTCTACACGTACGACCAATCAATCTCTAAACCATCAAAGATCACTTCTCATCTCCTCAAGCCCACGCTGCGTATGTTCCCCAGGTTATTGAATTTAGACATTCTCACTGTATACATTTGTCAGCCGATTTTCAGATCTCGTCACGATATGGAGCATATATTATAACCTGTCAATCCATGGGGCTTAACCATTACTTCATGTTGCACAGGGTGTCTGCGTCGGCTTCTCGGTCACATCGAGTGTCCAGTGCTTGCTTTGTCCGCATCTATTGTGGATCCGTCGTCGCTCGCTAGTTTCATCGAAGCCATGCGTAGTACGGGCGATAGGCAGTACCAAGGGTACGCCGATCAGAGCTGTACGGAGTGTATAATATCAACAGAAGGCTCTGTTGACAAAGCCGACCAAACCACTAACCAGAAACTAGAAGTGGCTGTAGGTGTTGATATAGGGAGAGATTCGGAGGTCGGTTCGGCCTGTAAGTGCGACGAGAACCGAAACAAAGTTTGGGTGGTGCCGTCGCCAGACAGTACTTAGTTTGGCTCCCAGAACGGCAGAAACTGCAACAGGTGAGCTCGCAAGTGTCTGTATCAAAACATAGGAACTATCCAAGACTATTATACTGGGAACATTACTTCTCTATTTTACCAGTTGCTCGCTGTGTACGACATTATCGCTGTGAATTCGCACGAGTAAACAAATGTCTTGCGATTCCACAAACACTCTTCTGTGACCCACAGATCCACCCGTACAGCATGCTAGCACCGTTATGCCAGGATGAAGAGGAACTCGACGATGCTGTAGTTGACCTACACAAAGTATGCACATAAGAAGTTCACCACACTGTCTTACCTGGTTGGTTGGTTAACAAGTTCACTACACTGTCTTGCTTGGTTTCATCTATAAATAGTTCACTATACCGTCTTACTTGCTTGGTTGGTATACGCTGTTGGTTGGTTAGTATTTGTTCTGCCATGGTTGTAAGGTTGTGTGGTGTGTTCAGATTCCTTTTTGACGGTGGGGGGAGGGTAATGCCTGTCATCGTGCAAGCACGCAATCGTTTACTATATGATTTGTACATACATGTGCAATTGTATTCATGTGCAATAGTCTACATGTTTTACAACCAGATCGCTGGTTCCGTAACTATATGTCTATCCTTATATGTGCTTTTATTTTCACATACGTAGTAGGCGTGTGCATGTGCTGGTAAGGAAATATGAATTGTAGATATCATTTTTTACACAACATTCTGGGTGTACAGATCTGAACGAAGAGTCGTGTTTAGTTGAAGTTTTTCATTTATCTACGTAATAGCATCAGCAACTATGCTCATAATACGAGTTGCTTTAAATAGATAGGTCGATATCTCATCATATCCAGCGCAAATCTAGCTTTCATGCAAGGGTTAGTCCCTGCTAAATGTGTGCGTGTGCGACCACGAACTGCATCAACTGATTGTCATCTCTTGCGACGCTCGGTACTGGTTGTTTTGTTTTGACCAGGTGCAATTGTCCGGTCCAGAAGTTTGGTCAGTCGCCCGAGTGCTCTTGGACCGAAATCCTGACCATTTCTTATACTACACTCCACTATGGTCGGAGTTGGCTGAAAGTTTGAAGACTACAGATCCCGGTATCAATGAAAAAGCAGGTATATGATTATATTAGTCCTATAACTCCAGTTGGCGCGAAAGGATCAGCCTGTAAATAACTGTAATAGATATCAAACTCCCAATATACAATAGGCATGAGCTATTATCCATCGGTCCGAGTGAGGGGACGAAATGCTAAACGTTAGCGACAACAACGTCTTGCTTATTGTCGACGTGCAGGTCTGAAGGATGTGATTGCCATGGTCTACAGCAGTATGTCGCGGATTGACATGGGCGATCTCACAGCCCTACGACATGCCACGGCGCAGTACATACAAACTCGCCTGGATATGACCCAACAAACCCATCTCTTCGAGACTTTACTAGCACAGGGCAAGGTATTGACTTTCTGTCCGTAGCTGCATGCTCTTTGCTTATATCATTCCCAGCTTTACCTTGCGTGGTATCAAGCCAGTCTGCAATATCTCCCTTAGTAACACGGAGAGGTTTAGTAAGCTACCCGCGAGTTACAACAGTATAGTATATAATAGCACTCGAGCACAACTCAATCTGAGGGAGGGATAGATGACCGAGGTAGCGCGAGTGAGCATTTCGCACCCGACCCTCATCAGACGATGTTGTGTGCGCAAGCTATATTGAGACACGACCTATCACGCGCCCTTACGTATCATCGCACAGAAGATCCCGTGGCTGTGTCGTGACGCCCATTACGTTTCCTTTAAACGCTGAGGCACTTCGTACCTCTTTCACACAAGTAGTAGCTGTGCATTGACAACTCCTCTCAAATTGAAGCAAGCGATGATGACTTCGCCGCTGTGGCTCCATTGAAGCGTCTTGTGCGTTATGTATTTTGGGTGTTTTGGGATTGCAGCCAAATTTTTTCCATAGAGGAGACAAGCGTGTTCATATCGTTTGGCTACTCAGGCGTAGCGTTATAAGTAAAACACGCTTCCTTTCGAAGAATTGTAAATTCGTATGGGAATAAAAAACGGTCTGTGCGTGAGGCATTCATGCAGCCTTTTATTCCGAACGATTCGACCTGCTCTACTGTGCAACTCGATTGTGAACCCTCCAACACTAACCACTACCCACAGGAACAATCCGCCGAAGACCTATCGGCCGAGATCAGCCGAAGTACACGCAACCCAATCAGCTATCGCATCGAAGACGATTTGACTGACGACTCAACCACAGCTCAACATGGTATTGCAAACTGCTTCACTTGTTTCTCATACATAGTCACTACAGGAGTTTGTCTGCACACAAGTGTGTTTATCGCGTAGGTACGACCAACGATCTAAGCAAAGGGAGTTTGAAATGATGCACCCCACAATGTTCCTATGCATTCATCGGTTATATTCGCCAAGGCTATTTCACGTCCTTACCGACACGTGCGTTTAGTCCGCTTATAATCGAATGCTTGTACTGCACGGTGCAGCAGCGCTCACCAGAAAAGCACATCAAAAAAATATCCCGAACGAACTTTTGGTACGATATGGCCCTATAGAATTTTGTATATAACAACTTGATCCAGGTGTGACTGAAATGTTGCGCATCTTGAGTGAGCTCAAGAAACAGAAGCTACTACCGGCCTTGATGTTTAGTGACAACACTCCCTTGATCGAGTGTCTCTTTGGTCGGCTTGTGGATAGCCTGGAAACCCAGGAGGCTCTCAGTGGATTCACTTACGAATGCACCGCAGGTGAGTACACAGAATACTATTATAATATAGCTAATGGCGTTAACTGTTGTGTATACATAAATATGAATCCGTATCGTACAACAATACAAAGCCGCTGCACGCAACTTGAGTCCCAGCTTTAACACG